TAGAGTTCGGTAGAAAATCGCTAAATAAGATAATAAATAAGGTAAGGTAATAAGTGAGCTAAATAAGATAAATACGGACAAGTGTTTCCCCAATCTGCTTCAATAAGTGCTAGTGCATACTCGGGTACGAGCAAAATTAACAGAACTGCTTCTACGTTGCTACTGTTGAATCAATGTAAAACGAGTTTTCAATTCTCATTGGAGATGCTGAGTAGAGAAACAAAGTGTATAAGGTTCTTTACCCTAAATTACCAATATCTTGATTTTGAAGATGAGTCCATGAAGGAGGGGGCTTCGCGCTACCGTCCTCTATACTGTAGGCCTTCCTGATTATTACCAAAAAATCCCATAACAGGAGATTCTTCTTGGAATGAAGAATTAAATCATCACAAAAACATTTTTCTATATAGTTTATCTTATTTATTTTCTTCTGCTTCTGCTTCATTTTGCTACGTCTCTTCGTGCGCGACGTCGCTCTTGCCGCGAAGCGACCATTTCGATTCAACTTCACCGCACCCGTTCGCCATGAAATGCCTGCTCCTATACAATCACTTCTTTGATTGAAAGAGCACACATCGCAATCTGGGGTACCAAGGAGTGTCATTATTTGCGCACCAACTGTCGGGCAAACCTCCCCGCATGGGATATTTCCGCAACTCTGACTCCTTCTTGTAGATCTCAGTTGGAGACTCACTCGAACTGCTCTGCTCTTTCCATTGGGGAAGAACGGCGAACAAAATGTCATCTGTTGACGAATGCTCGCTCGCGCTTTTCACAGGGTTGGAAGTATCTAACACACCACGTTATGGCCCTTTGTAGCTGCCTGGGTATACAGAGAGCATTTTTGATTGCCTGTTGGGATGCAAAAATAGATAAAAAGCAATAACGTGTGATCATGAGCAGCGACCCTCCAGTCTGATGGATCGTCTCGCATAATGAGAATATCACTCGTGATCGATTTTTTGATTTTCGGGCTTTGAAGGAGTCGGAAAGCTCTGCAAAGTTTTACATTCTCAGAACGAACAATCCTGTACACTTAAAAACAAGCGACAATTTCATTCATTCACTTTTCAAAAACTGCTTGTCAAAAAATATTCGAACGAGAGACGGTATCTCCCTCATTCTACAGACTGAGTCTTTCAAAAATCGCCAGGTGGAATGATGGGCGCTGACTATGTATAGTCCTATGAAAGAAAGCCCGGTGGCATATTGAATGGCACAGGATAAAGCATCATCCTGACAAGATACTTTTGGTTTCGGTCACAAGGCAGTTCAGTTTCATTTTAGAGTGCAAAACACAGATTCATCAAGGTGTTTTGACAGAAACTTACCAAAAGATGATAATTCACTTTAATAGTCGAGGTAGGCTGGAGAAATTGAGCAGCATTGAGATACGGTGGCAACAAGCGTGTGCTGGCTCGACTGTGGTCTTATGAATATGCAGTAGCGTTTGGCTGCGCAGCCGGCGCCGGTGAATATGAAACAGTGCTTTGATGAAAGGGCTCGACAGAAAATCTTGGCTATTTGTACATCATGACCGACTTGAGCTCTTTTCAATGTCGTGGCATTACAGCACTGAAGAGCAACCATAGTTGGCGTGCGCCGTGCACAGTCATTGTAAAAGCAGCCCTTCAAATACTTCAACGAATCTTTCTATCTGCTTCACTGAGGGCTCTCTATCAAGGAAGGTTTCTGGCCGGTTGGTGACGAATCCACTTGGCGCGATCCCATGTGGCGAATAGTAAGGTGAATCGCTCACCAAAAGTCACAGGAACTTGCATAGAGATGCAAGTGAATTAAGGGGATAGATTCCCTGTTGCTGTTGTGCTGGAGAGATGTTTCCCTTCTGAATCCTCGCAAGTGTGTCAATGCATATGTGCGTGTAGAGTCTGCAAGAAGGCTAGTATTCTGCACATCGGATCATTCGAAAGCTTGCAGATGAGTGACGGGGAACTTATCATCGAGGGGCTTAGTTGGAGACGATTAGGAGAGATTTTCAGTGACTAGGCTGTTTGTCTACTCTGAGGTAGCCTGGCTTGCTTCCTCTAGTTTATTTAGCCTTCACATCAGAGCCTGGCAAGCCATTCGTGGGACCTAACGTGAGTTGGGTATATTCTTCTTTCAGTTGTGCCCTCTGAAATTCGACATTCCACCATGTTAATGAAGAGTTGTATGGTGCCTGTGAGGATTGAACCAAAACACCTTACAGCCTCATTACCACCTGCCACCTATGGTCAGCGTTCTGGCTAAGCTAGCGATGTATAACTAGAAAGGGATCCTTCCGTACATCAGCGTTGAATACCGCTCCAGATCTACAATCTGGAGCCATAACATGCAGCTTGAAAGGAGAACGACCAAAATTGGCGATATGTGCTTCCAACGATCGAGCGCTTGCACCGTTAAAGATCTGATCACGCAAGCTAAGAAGGTCATGTGAAAAGCATCGCCCGCTGCACGCCGTTTTCGGAACTCGAGAAGATTTCTCGTTTGAAACATACGTTAGCAGAAGCGGTGTAGGCGTCAATACGCACTTGACCATAAACATCGATTTATGCGAAACCTTGTCATCCCATATCGGACGTATCTTTCTAGATGCAGTAACTCTTCCACCAGAACGACTAAAAGAGCTCATTTTGGTCTTATAATTGGCCGAGCTCTGATGGGCACTGCCCATGCCCACTTTTGGTGGCTTAGGTCTGTACTGCTTCTCTTCCCTCTATCAGATTTTCGTGTATTACTTCTCTCCATCGCTTTACAGGTTCGGACATCAGTTGATGATCCCCTTTAGATCGCCGATTCCACGTAAGAGTATCAGCCCGGTAGTCTTCGGAAATGGATGCCTCTTGACAACTTGTAGAACTCCGCAGCACTCTTTTCTCTGATTGGAAAGCAAAATCTAGCGTGCAGGAGACGATTGTCCGATTCACGTTGAACTTTGGAACAACAGCTAGGGCAGCCAGCCAGAACTTTTAAAGATGATGAGGACTGTTTTTATTATGTAACTGTCCACCGGTTGACACCCACGTCCATCACAAACGAGAGGGCATCAGGGACTACGAGTCACCGTGGATAGTGTGGGACGGCATAAGAAACTCGGATAAACTTGCACCTCGCTCACTCCACTCCATTCCGTGAGTCCCTATGTGGAGCTCTTTAGCCGTTATTCTGGGGCCAATCTTGGCGCTAACAAGGAAGGTCTTTCAGGGCGTGGGACGCTTTTCAAAAATGATTTTTTTGCATGGTATAGGGGCATGAGCACTGAGTATAGAACTATGGTCCATTTCCGCTAAATGGCCTTCTGAATGCCAAAAAAGGAGTGAAAATGATTCTGTCAGAAATTGCCGTTTTAACCCACTAAGCGTTGTTTGTTTCATTCATGGCGTCGACTATCCGCACAGTAGAAGACGCCTATGGATCCAATCTGGAGGTGGTAGCATAAAATGCAACATGTGCTGCCATCTTCAGATTGGCTCCATGTTGCACCAGGACCAAAGCAAGTGTCTGACTGGTCATGGTCGTGACCGGGGCCACCCATGACCTCTAAAAGTCGTCAGCAGTTAATGTGTTGAGCACTCTCAATGAGGAGCTTTCTGGAGTACTCCCTGGAGTATGAAGGGGTCTCTTCATTTTACACTATATAGGTGTTGTAATGGGGGTCAAACCCCTACAATATTCCTTTTTGGTGGAAGCTGTCCTCGACCACGTCCGCCAATGCAAAGATAACAGTATTCCCATATTCATTGCAGCTCCCAATTCCGATCTCTCTCTGGGCATCAACCGCGGACTTCTGTGGGAAAACGAATTAGATTCTCCTTAACTCGTCTTGTTGCTGTAGGATCCATGAGCATTGGGGTTTATATAAAAAGCTGGCATCCCTGAAGGAAATCTTTCAAGTGCCAGATGATTAGATTAATGACTAGATGAAGGGTTTGGGCGATACCCGTTCCCAACATACGATCCCCTAACTGCGCATCCTGCTATGAAGGGCTGGCAGGACACGATCAAGAAGGAAGGTTATTGCTGAAGTCGAAGTGCAGAAGATACTGAAGGGAAAGAAAGAGGAAAGAGGGAAATGGAGATGACCATCCAGAACGGTGGACAAAGGCCCCTCAATGGCGCGAGATCAACGCTAGGGTAAAAAACGGTAAAACTATCGAAATCATCATTAGTTTTAAAAGAATTCGGTCGAAATAAGACAACAATCAAACCATCACTGTCCAAATCATTCAAAGAATTGTGTGGACTGTGCAATGTCCGTACAGTGTCCGAAAACCAGATGATATGATATCGAGTTTATTGACTATCAAAATGATATCATACCAACATTTCACCAACTGAATGAACTCTCGATGTGAAGGATGCAAAAACAGCCGAACTGATGAAAAAACTACGTGAGGAAGTTGAGGGGGACGAGGGGGAGGGGAAGGAAGAGCTCCTGGGAGTGTGAAGCCCGGAAGCTCCTCCATTGATAGTGCTCCACACATCAAAATCCAACGACTTGTAGAGG